ATATAATGTATATGGCATATATATATGATGCCAAAATGTCCATAACTTTTGATAACTCTGACGATTGTTACTTTGTTTTCAATTGATATCATTGGAGTCCAGAAAGTCGTTCTTGTGATATTGTTGATCTTAATTATGATTTTGATGATAATAAATGCCCCAATCACTTGGCAGACTTTAGCTTGGAAAAGGGCATTGTTTATTTGTTTGTAAAAAAGAAAATATATGAATTTGCTGGGGACCCTTGAGGCTCCGGGACCCCATGCTTTAGCCAGTAAGAGCAAAGATACTAGTAGGCCTATCTTTGGTAAGAGCTCATACATAGCCGTTGCGCCACTGTGTAGAAGCTAGGTTTTATGATTTCAAATAATGTATTAAAATGCTTATAATTTTAAATGCATTTTTCGACTTTGTTTTGATCTTTAATAAATGAAATAAAGAAATGCTTTATTAGCGAATTGTTGACACAAGGCTTAGGGAGTGGAGATGTTTGTTGGTCGTCAGAAAAAAAAAACCGTTCCTGCTGCGCCAAACCAATTCTACAATAAACCACTTCTAATTGAACATAGGCCTATTCAAATATTTTCCTTCCATTTTGTTCTAAAAATCTCATGTCAAACGAGTTTATGGAACATTCTGATCAAAACAGGCGCAGAGTGGGAATGCCAGACAAAATACCCCTACTACAAAGATGTTTTACGAAATGGACCAATCGAATACTGTACTCTAGACATTAGGCTGCTGCTGGCATCACATGTATTGCGTCATCCATGGTTATTTTTATACTGTACATGAATATCAACTAGAACAACGCCGCTAACAATAATAATGGCGAAACTATCTGATCGATGCACAATACTAATATAATCGTATCCAATGCATAGAACAGTTTTCCCTCCAATGACCCCGCCAACTAAAGACCACCTACAAGACACTTTTCTCTGGCCCCAGCCAGATGAATAGGCGCCTATCAATCTTTTATTTTTATAATGATTATTTGTTTATAATTAAAGACCAAAGCTGCTAAAGACTATAAAAACCTTGGTCCCTAAAGTGGTCTTTAATTCGAGAGAGACCGGGTTTTTCACAGGACTACACCTGGACTCCAGGTATCTGGAGTATCTACGTATAATGATTACATATAATGTGCCATCGTGGAGCTCCAGGTCCTGGAGCCCAACGATGGCACATTATTACATGCAATATATCAGATACTGTATTTCGTCTATACAATTTTACAGAAATTTGTTTTCCGCCAGCTTACAAAACGAAAAACAACGAATCAGCACAAAGTTGTAATAAGTTTAATCAGTTTAAAACACATTTAAAAAGGAAACGAAAACACTGTAATCTTGTCACACCCATCACCGTGAAACCCTGGAATTAAACATGTGTATGGCATCAGGCAGGAAGGAATATACCTATGTCGATTTTTTTTTGGTAGGCCTACAAATAACATAAGTCGGATACCAGACCTGTTAAACAGACAATGAATTATTAAATGGGTGTGTGGGATCCTTTAGAATACGGTTTAATTGTGCAACTCATGATCCTCATACAAGCATGTGATTGAAGGTAATTCCAGCAATAATACGACTAGCACATTTCCTAACTTTATCGTTAAACTAAAAGTACACAAAAAGCAATATGTTGAATTACCTTGGTCAAAGTGGTTTGAATAACCGATTGGTAGAAGAGTACAAGAAGGGATTTCATTTTACGTAAAAAGACATCTTAACTACTAGCCTTAGTCCGTATTTAGGGTGTTGTTGCCAAATGTCCATTTCTCATCAATAATGCAGCCAAGAAACTTAAATTCACTGGCCCTGTCGGATGACATTGATTTTTGATTATCACAGGTACATGCTCTAATTGGTTATGCCTGAAATCTAAAATGATTTCTTTGGTTTTTCTTTAGAATTTAGGCCTATGATTAGATTATTTGAATCACGCCATTTCACGAGACTGTGAACCTCTGAAAGGAAGCTCCAAAAGTCATTGATTAGACCTGTGATTACGGTGTCGTCTGCATATTTTATAAAATTGCAACAGTCTGAACTGTTCCTGCAATCATTCGTAAAAATTGAGAAGAGGATCGGAGAAATCACACTACCTTGTGGGATCCCTGTACTAATGTTTAGCCTCCGATTTACCGACCCTAACGTATTGAGGGCGATTTCTGAGGAAGCTGCTAATCCATTCAATCAAATGTGGGCTGACATTCATATTTTTTAATTTAGTTACCAGAAGTGCAGGAACTACCGTGTTAAATGCACTAGAATAGTCTATAAAAAGTGATCTAACATAGGTACCACTAAGATGAAGGTGCCTGACAATATTATTAATATAATAAATAATAAATAATAAATTACAAAAATTGTTTAGTATTTAACGTATCAACAGTTCCAAGATTAAATCCTTCTTTATTTCGTGACTTCTCTGCATACGATCAGGGTTTGCATGGCTTGCCAGGCGCCACGAGCATTATTGTTCAGGAATTTCTGCTCCATTTTACACTTAAACGAGAGCTTGTCAGCCTTTATTTGCTTGTTTATCAACTCTTGTACCTCTTTAACTTTAGATGAATTGCCATCCACATGTGCCTTTCGTTTATCATAAATAAGTGTCTTCAGCTTAATGATACCCATGGTTTCTCATTACTGTAGACTTTCTTGGTCACCTTCTGTATAGCCATATCAGTACAAAGTTACATCATCCGGAGATGAATATCACAGACTCGTTTAAAGTGCTAGAGAAAGAAAGCAGCGACTCCCAGTCAGTCAGCCGAATATGCCTATTGAACATTGTATTTATTTTCGAAAAAATTTCGGCCAGTACTCTAGCCTTCATCAGGCCATCAGGAAAGCTGATGAAGGCCAGAGGACTGGCCGAAAATTTCTTTTGAAAATGAATACAATGTTCAATCGGCTACTGCTTTGTCATAATTTTTTGTTTCAAGAACTGATATAATTTGAAGAACACACGTGGATTTACAATGATGTACACACACACACACACACACACACACATATAT